GGCTGGTCAAATGTTTGTTAGTGGGATGAATTGTAAAGGACCTGCCTAGTATGGGCCAACAGGCCTGCTGCAGTGTTCCTCCTTTCTTATGTTCTTATGTTCTTAAGACGGTAGTACCTCCCTGGGTGGTTGCTGTCTACCAACCTAATACCTATAACTCAACAGACTTATTCCCCTATAATTTTTTACACTCTTATATCCCATTTTGCCTTTATACAAAGAAACTATGCATGCTCTCTTCCAATCTGTAGGTACCTTACCAGCTTCCATACATTTATTAAATAATAGCATCAACCACTCCAAAACTATATCCCCACCCTATCTTTATCCCATCAACCCCAGCTGCCTTACCCCCGTTCATTCTACCCACTGCCTCACGAACTTCCCCCATACTCACAACTGGCTCTTCCTCACTCCTACAAGGTGTTATTCCTCCTTGGCCTGTACACGAAATCACAGCTTCCCTATCTTCATCAACATTTAACAATTCCTCAAAATATTCCCTCCATCTTCCCGATACCTCTAACTCTCCATTTAATAACTCTCCTTTCCTATTTTTAACTGTCAAATCCATTTGTTTCCTAGGCTTCCTAAACTTATTAATCTCACTCCAAAACTTTTTCTTATTTTCAACAAAATTTGTTGATAGCATCTCACCCACTCTCTCATTTGCTCTCTTTTTAGATTGCTTCACCACTCTCTTAACCTCTCTTTTTCTCTCAATATACTCTTTCCTCCCTGCATCACCTCTCATATGCTAACTTTTTCTCCCTTCTCTCTTTACATCATCATTCCACTAGTCGCTCTTCTTCCCTCCTGCACCTACATTCCTGTAACCACAAACTTCTGCTGAATGCTATAACACTACATTCTTAAACCTACCCCAAAATACTTCAACCCCCATTGCCTATACTCTCACTAGCCCCTCTATCCTCCAATAGTTGGTTATATCTTCCCCTAACTGCCTCCTCTTTTAGTTTATTCACCTTCACCTCTCTTAATTGCTGCTTCTATTTTTCCTTGTATCCCATCTACGTTTTACCCTCACTGTAACTAGAAAGTGTTCTGATATATCTGTGGCCCCTCTATAAACATGTACATCCTGAAGTCTACTCAGCAGTCTTTTATCTACCAATACATAGTCCAACAAACTATACTGTCATTACACCCTACGTCATATCTTGTATACTTACTTATCCTTTTTTTTTTAAATATGTATGTATTACCTATAACTAAACCCCTTTCTATACACAGTTCAATCAAAGGGCTCCCATTTTCATTTACACGTCGCACCCCAAACTTGCCTACCACACCCTCTCTAAATGTTTCTCCTACTTTAGCATTTAGGTCCCCTACCACAATTACTCTCTCACTTGGTTCAAAGGTTCCTATACATTCACTTATCATCTCCCAAAATATCTCTTTCTCCTCTACACTCTCTTCTCCAGGTGCATACACACTTATTATGACCCACTTTTCACATCCGACCCTTTTTTTAATCCACATAATCCTTGAATTTATACATTTATATTCCCTCTTCTCCTTCCATAACTGGTCCTTCAACATTATTGCTACCCCTTCCTTACCTCTAACTCTCTCAGATACTCCTGACTTAATCCCATTTATTTCTCCCCAATGAAACTCACCTACCCCTTTCAGCTTTGTTTCACTTAGGGCCAGGGCATCCAACTTCTTTTCATTCATAACATCAGCAATCATCTCTTTCTTATCTGTTCTACATCCATGCACATTCAAGCATCCCAGTTTTATAAAGTTTTTCTTTTTTTTCATTTTTAATAAATGTGTACAGGAGAAGGGGTTACTAGCCCATTGCTCCCGGCATTTTAGTTGCCTCATACGACACACATGGCTTAAGGGGGAAAGATTCTTTTCCACTTTCCCATGGACAATAGAGAAAAAAAAACAAGAACAAGACCTATTAAGAAAAAGAAGAAAAACCCTAGATGTGTACTCACCTATTTGTACTCACCTATTTGTGTTTGCAGGGGTCGAGTCTTAGCTCCTGGACCCGCCTCTTCACTGGTTGCTACTGGGTCCTCTCTCTCTCCCTGCTCCATGAGCTTTATCAAACCTCGTCTTAAAACTATGTATGGTTCCCGCCTCCACTACTTCACTTTCTAGGCTATTCCACTGCCTGACAACTCTATGACTGAAGAAATACTTCCTAACATCCCTTTGACTCATCTGAGTCTTCAACTTCCAATTGTGACCTCTTGTTTCTGTGTCCCATCCCTGGAACATCCTGTCTTTGTCCACCTTGTCTATTCTGCGCAGTATTTTATATGTCGTTATCATGTCTCCCCTGACCCTCCTGTCCTCCAGTGTCGTTAGTGTGTGTATGTATATATATGCATGTACATGCCTGTGTAGTGTGACCTAAGTGTAAGTAGAAGTAGCAAGATATACCTGTTATCCAGCGTGTTTATGTGACAGAAAATAGACACCAGGAATCCTACCATCATGTAAAAGTTACAGGTTTCTGTTTCACAGTCACCTGGCAGGATGGTAGTACCTCCCTGGGTGGCTGCTGTCTACCAGCCTACTACCTAAAAATATAGAAATGGAAAATTAAATATAACATAAGACTGAGTAAATTTTGATTATGTTCAGTATTGTATAGTCCATCTTTTGCCTAACATGATAAGCATTCTTTGTTCCTTCAAATTATTGCATGTCCTGTGCAGTAGTACTGTATTGAAAATTAGATTAGTATTTCACTAACATTTGTGATAATTGATACAAATGTTACAATGAATTGTTTTTCTAAAACTTGTCACGAATTGTTCTTGCAAAAATTCCAGTAGTAGTAGTAGTATGTTGTGAGTAGTTTTAAATTTATTTTAATTCTGCCCCAAATGCTCTGCATAACCAGGAGCTGGAGCTTTCTGTAAAGTATGTCAATAATATCACCTATTCCTGAATCAATTGGAAATTATACTTTTTATAAAAATGTTTATCGTGTATCATCATTTTCTTTTCAAACAAAGTCTCGTTGATTGTAATACATTGTGCCTTTTATTCCTTCTATGTTTTGAAGTCTCCAAATTAATCTTTCATGGGGACTGTCAAAATTCAAAAGCCTTATTAAAATCTTAGATAAATTCAATCTGCCCATTTTTCTTCTTGAACAATTTCTGTGACTTCCATAATGGCTTAATAAATTTGATATGAAGGAATTTTTAGACTGAAAACTGAATTGTTTACTAGTCATTAGTCTATTCCTTTCCTAGTATTTTATGCCCATTTCTACTGGCTTTTTCCACTATTTTTACAGCAATTATCAGTTAAATCAGCCTATAGTTGAAAGGGTTTTCCTTGTCACCTTTCTTCAATATTAGCACGATGTGTGCCGTCTTCCATTTGTCTTCCAGTTTACCCTATTGTACTGAAATCCCCCACCATGCCTCCCCCCCCACAAAAAAAAAAAAAATCCAATAGGGATATCTCAATTCTGCACATTTTTTTTTAAAGCCTATGTTACTATCTCATCCGGTCCCATTACCTTGTTTTTGACAACATCCAGTAATAATTTTTTCCAATGTCCTTAGTTGTTTCAGTAACTTTTAACTTAACCCTTAAAATGTCCAAACATAGATCTACATTTTCTTCAACATTGGAAAGTATGTAAAAAAAGTAGATCATCTTTTTTTTTTTTACATTTGAAATCGTGTAAAAAAAACTTTGATCTACATTTTTTTTGTTATACAGTGGACCCCCGCTTAACGATCACCTCCCAATGCGACCAGTTATGTAAGTGTATTTATGTAAGTGCGTTTGCATGTGTATGTTTGGGGGTCTGAAATGGACTAATCTACTTCACAATATTCCTTATGGGAACAAATTCGGTCAGTACTGGCACCTGAACATACTTCTGGAATGAAAAAATATCGTTAACCGGGGGTCCACTGTATTTGAAAAATGTAAAAAAACGTAAATCTACTTTTGGAGCACTACGCATGTGAACGTAGATCTATGTTTGGACAGTTTAAGGGTTAATTATGCATTTGGGTTTTAAATAAGCTACATATTAATTGTGTATTCTTTTGTAAGCACACATACTAAAACTTTCTGTTTAGTGTACCTTGCACATTTCCTCCTTTTCCTCCAGTGATATGCACTGTTATGTTTGGCCGGTAGTTGGGTGGGTGATAGCATGCACATGTGACACTTATGGCAAGAGAAACCTGCATGAAAGATAAGCAGTAACCAACATACATACAGTAAATTGGTGATATATAGACACAATGCCTTTATTTAAAATGTTTCATACACTGACCACACTAGGAAAGTGACTTGATGTATGTGAAAGGCTCTTGATCTAAGAAAGTGATGCTGTCCTTTCCTTCCTTGAATTGAACCTGTATGACCCCTATAGGTTGAGCACGTCACCTGATAAATTTTCTTTTTGCTTGAATGCAATCTTGTAAAGGTAGCTACCATACTGTATTTTCCAGTATACCTGGAGTATACCTGGAGAGGGTTCCAAGGGTCATTGCCCCTGCGGCCCGGTCTGTGACCAGGTCTCATGGTGGATCAGGACCTGATCAACCAGGCTGTTACTGTTGGCTGCACGCAACCTGACGTATGAACCACAGCCCGGCTGGTCAGGTGTTGACTTTAGGTGCCTATCTAGTGCCTGCTTGAAGACAGCTAGGGGTTCTATTGGTAATTCCCCTTATGTATGCTGGGAGGCAGTTGAACAGTCTTGGGCCCCTGACACTTATTTTGCTGTCTCTTATCGTGCTAGTGGCACCCCTTCTTTTCATTGGGGGGATGTTGCAGCGTGTGCCGAGTCTTCTGCTTTCGTAGGGAGTGATTTTCACGTGCAAGTTTGGTACTAATCCCTCTAGGATTTTCCAAGTGTATATGATCGTGTATCTCTAATGCCTGTGTTCTAGAGAGTACAGATTTAGGAACTTAAAGCGTTCCCAGTAATTGAGGTGTTTTATCGCAGTGCTAATTTTATTTTCATATTACAGGAGTATCCTCTAAAGGTCAGCTTCATCAGCCACAGAAGCCATTGCAGCAGCTTGTGATGGCAGATGCACACTACATTCAGAGTAAGGCTGCCATTATTTGATTTCCTTATTTATTTAGGGTTGTAAAATTAATATGTGTGCATATTAAAATGGTAAAACTAGTAAAGGGCTTTGTAGTCAGGGCCCTAGGGCACCACATGGAACATGTCACATCTCATTCACACTAATTATTCCCTCTGAGCCAAAGATTGAGCTCTGGTTTTCCTCTCAGTGATATGACTCCTTCAGTTCAGATAGTCTGTTAATGCTCTGTTGTTGGCAGTGCTACTTGAGACCTGAATAGTACTTAAAGGTGCAAGCTTCTGCATCACTGAACCCTAGGGGCTGCCAGCATCTGCTACCTGCATCTGACATGTTCTCTGGCCTAGGGCCTCTTTCAGGGCCACATCTATCAATGGCAGCTCTACTGTTGAACAAGTGGTTGGCATGCCAGTAGATCTTATTTTAAGTTTACATTCTTCTGTGCATATAAACTGTGGCCTTTGTTGCTAGTATAATGGTGGGGGCTCCTCGCCAGTGACCTAGGACCCCATTGGAAATTCTGTAAGTCACTAACCTCTTTTTTTGGGGGGAGGGGAGGTTATCCTACATAATTTACACATTAATATATATAAGACAGTTGTAAAGTGTAGCTAAATAAATTTGCTTGCTTATTTCATGGAGCCATTCTGGAGCTTCCCTTTCTCAGGATGGGGATTGTTCACTGCCCATTGGTGGATGGCTTTCTCTCTGCTAGTCTGTATTGAAGTCCATTGACACCATTCTCACTCTTTTCCATTACTTAGGATGGGGGATGGGATCCATTTATTCCTCAAGGAAAACCTTACCCTATTGTTATGTCCAGATTATCACCCTCATTCTTTTAGAGGCTTCATCTGCAGCTTAATTCTAGTTATTGAATTATGGTGTTCTTTCTTGCTAACCATGATAAGCCATTACTTATTCCACTGCTGCTGTGGTTGTTTGATCTCGCCACTCTGCCTCTTTGTTTCTCTAGACAGGCTCTCTCTCCTCCATTTGATCCATAACTTTCCTTCTCAGCCTAGGACTTGAATGTGAGGGAATCCATCAAAGAGAGTTATTGTGTTGTAGCTCTGTCTCTTGCTTGGCTCTCTGCCTTAGTTCTCTATGTGGACAGGTGCCTCAAAAGGCCCAGTTTTCCCTTTCTTTGACCTTCCTTATCATGGATGCCTCTTCTGTGAGCTATGATGCTATCCTCAATTTATGTTATCTAATTATGTTATTTTGGGTCTCTCATTATGTCCCATTCCTGTTAAATTAGAAGCAATTTACAGATATCCATACACTAGTGGTTGTCCACAGGGTCATCCTTCAGAACCTGACCTTGGTATTCCAATTGGATGATTGCATGGCTTTTGCTCTGCTGTGATGCCCTAGCTTGGGCAACTGTTGCCCTCTTTTTCATTGTGCTAACAATATCTGTTTGCAAGCAGGTTAACATATCATCTTTGTATTTACCTGAGCAACTTGATGCTGTATTTTGGAGGTTCAAATGTCTATCACATTTTGAATTTTTATGAGTGGGAACTTCACCTGGTGGTCTTTAGTTTTCTTATAAGGCACTCCGGACATGGGCTTCTTTTCCATAAAGACTGTTCACAATGTTATATTCTTTGTGCGTCGCTTCCCAGGCTAGATTGTTTCCACAACAGAGACAATGTCCCACGCTTGGTGGGGGGTAAAAGTTCCCACATATCTTTCTGCCTACACCTTTGGTTAACCCTTTGACTGTCGCAAGCCCATTTTTGAAACCGTCATTCTGTGTCGAAAAATATTAAAAAAAAGAAAAAAATTTCTTACCAAAATGTTAAGATTATTTTACCGAGTGTTTTAAGCCTAAAAAAAAAATTTTGCCATCAGTACTTACCAAGATATAGAGGCGCAAAGTTGGCAGAAAATGAGCAGCATATGGCAACAGCAGTGAATGCCGCTCACTCGGTATTCTTTTATTTACTCCAATTTGAAGGTTTCTTGTATTTTCCAATATTTTTCTTTTCTAAGTAACTTATGTGGCCTGTGAGACCAAAGTAAGGTGCATTGTTTAAATATACACTCATTGTATACAACAAAAACTGCACAAACATCATTATTATATTGTTTACAAAACTTGTTTACACAAACCAACAATACAAAACATTGTTTATTACTATTGTTCTATAATATATATACATATGTACAGTCACTGAACACTTTCCTAGAACTGCTGCAGCTTGTGGAACTTTTTGAAACATGGGTATACACAGAGTGGTACTTCACACTCCTCACACATACACACACAAAATGAGTGTCTGCATTTTTGTGGGCATTTTGTGGTACAGACAAAACACCTCTTCTGAGCACTTTTCTTGAAAGCAGTAGGAGGCAGTTGTATGGGGTAGTAATCACCAGGCCTCAGACGAGATGGCATGTGTTGGTAATTTCGTGGGCCCTGGTCTGTTGCAGGTGTTGCTCCTTGGTACTTGAATATTATTTGTCCGATGACTGACAAAGAAAATTCACCATATTTTGGTTTATTGTTGGTCTTCAACTTGTATATGTTATAATCATTCAGCATGGAAATATCAAGAAGATGGAAAAAAAGTTTTATGTAATACTTATAACTCTTGCATACACAATCAGCAAACCCAATCTGCATGTCACATTTGTCCACCAAGTGCATATTGAGGTTGTAGTCCATGATAGCTGCAGGTTTTAGAATGGTTTCATTGGTCTCTCTATTCTGCCTGCCACTGTCTGCCATTTCGTTTCAGTGAACTGATGTCAACAATGTGACATCACATTTGTCATGCCACCGAAATGCCATGATGTCATTGGCAGCAAAGGCCTGCACCTCACCTTTGCGAGTGCCAGCGTCAAACCTAGGCATATGCTTACGATTACCACACACTGTGTCACTCATGTCTGTCATGTTCACTCGCAAGAAATCACTTGAGTATGGGGCTTGTGTACCAGTTATCAGTATATAATATATGCCCCTTACCAAGATATGGTTCCATCATTGTTCTAACCACATCACCAGAGATACCTAGTAACTTCCTGGTATCTCACAATGTATTACTGCCAGTGTACACAATTATATCCAAAACCAGACCACTTTTGCAGTCACATAGTACAAATAACTTTATACCAAAGTGTTTCCTCTTGCTTGGTAAATACTGCTTGAACGACAATCTGCCTTTGAACAAAATCAAAGATTCATCAATAACAAGCTTCTTGCAGGGATAAAAATACATACTACAGCACTCTTGTTTTAGGTACATGAACACATTCCTGATCTTATATAACCTGTTGCTTCTGTCAAGCCTGGTTTCGTCTGAGAAGTGTAGCATATGTAACAGTATCAAAAAACGATTCAGTGGTAAAATATCATTAAAACCTGGGATTGAAATCAGGCATTCCGTTGACCAGTATGTGGTGACAGTGTGCTTACACACATGTGGCATAAGCATTATTGTGGCAAAGAACAGGTACATCTCTGCCACAGTTGTGTCCTTCCACTGGTGTTTACCTGGAGTTTACCTGGAGAGAGTTCCGGGGGTCAACATCCCCGCTGCCCGGTCTGTGACCAGGCCTCCTGGTGGATCAGAGCCTGATCAACCAGGCTGTTACTGCTGGCTGCACGCAAACCAACGTACGAGCCACAGCCCGGCTGGACAGGAACCGACTTTAGGTGCTTGTCCAGTGCCAGCTTGAAGACTGCCAGGGGTCTGTTGGTAATCCCCCTTATGTATGCTGGGAGGCAGTTGAACAGTCTCGGGCCCCTGACACTTATTGTATGGTCTCTTAACGTGCTAGTGACACCCCTGCTTTTCATTGGGGGGATGTTGCATCGTCTGCCAAGTCTTTTGCTTTCGTAGTGAGTGATTTTCGTGTGCAAGTTCGGTACTAGTCCCTCTAGGATTTTCCAGGTGTATATAATCATGTATCTCTCCCGCCTGCGTTCCAGGGAATACAGGTTTAGGAACCTCAAGCGCTCCCAGTAATTGAGGTGTTTTATCTCCGTTATGCGCGCCGTGAAGGTTCTCTGTACATTTTCTAGGTCAGCAATTTCACCTGCCTTGAAAGGTGCTGTTAGTGTGCAGCAATATTCCAGCCTAGATAGAACAAGTGACCTGAAGAGTGTCATCATGGGCTTGGCCTCCCTAGTTTTGAAGGTTCTCATTATCCATCCTGTCATTTTTCTAGCAGATGTGATTGATACAATGTTATGGTCCTTGAAGGTGAGATCCTTCGACATGATCACTCCCAGGTCTTTGACGTTGGTGTTTCGCTCTATTTTGTGGCCAGAATTTGTTTTGTACTCTGATGAAGATTTAATTTCCTCGTGTTTACCATATCTGAGTAATTGAAATTTCTCATCGTTGAACTTTCATATTGTTTTCTGCAGCCCACTGAAAGATTTGGTTGATGTCCACCTGGAGCCTTGCAGTGTCTGCAATGGAAGACACTGTCATGTAGATTCAGGTGTCATCTGCAAAGGAAGACACGGTGCTGTGGCTGTGCCATGACCTTGGTGAAAGAATTGTATTTGCCATGATGTACTCATAGTATGTGTTGCATTCCCAGTAATTTTTCCATCAGGGGTTCATCAAAGAATAACTGAAAGCATTCCACTTCAGTAGCATTGTTCCCAAGTGTACACGATGGCCGTATTCCACTTTGTGTTTCATCAAAGTCATGGAGATTGGGAACAAAGTTGGCAACTTGCTGCCAATCCCAGATACGGTCTGCTGGTGGGTTCTGGATATTGAAAGGTGGTTGTGGTTGTGCAGGTTGTGGTTGTGGATGTTGTGGGAGTGTGGGGGTGGTTGTGGTTGTGCTGAGTTAGCAGCGGGGGTAGTAGCATGGCCCGCTGCTGGTGCCACATGACTCGTGCCACTGCCAACATCACTACCACCATCACGTACTGCCCCACGCACATTACACACCCCCATTGTAACAATATCGTCGTCTTCACTCTCAGGTCGTGGTGTAGGGCCACAGGATGTACTCCGAGATTT